TTTTTTGTTCAGGCATCTCATTAGGAGTAGCAATTTAGAAGACACAAAGGGGAATACACCTGAACAATATCATTGCACTTTTTCTTCTGTCCATCGCTACTTTCCTCTACTCTGAAACGAGAGGTCAATTTATAGTGCTAACCCCTTAGCTAGTGGAATTAGTGAATCACTAACTGCAGCGCCAGCTGGGACATTTCCCGCTTCACTTTCTCAGCAAATTGTCCATCAGACACCACATCTGAATGGCTGAATGGTTCACTTGCTTCACTATTTGTCCGACATGCAGGACTGGCATGAGACACAGCTGGGTTCGCGCTCTGACTGCTTAGGTGGCCCCGACCCACTACTCTTTGCTCGGGGCGCCTTCCCCCTCACCAGCCAGGGCACCCAACCCCACCTCTTCACGGCAGCTTTCTCGGCCGTTGGCCTCCTTTCCTTACTTGTGATGATTCACTCGCGCACTCACGTGGGTTTCAGCCACAAGGAGCTGTTGCACACTTGCTTGCTCTCGCTTTCGGTGGTGCCAGAACTCTTCTGGCTGCGCCTCACCAACACCAAGAAGAGCAGGCTCTGTTTCCAATTTGAAAGGCAGGTCTTGCCCAGTTTACTCAGTATAGGGGAGTATCACCTAATAGTGAGCTATCAAGAGCTCAACCACTGCATTGCAATTGAATGAATCACTCAATTATTCAATTGAATGCATTATTCAATTACTCAATAATTATTGAGGGTGAACTCAATTATTGCAATATTTTTTTCTTGCAATTTTTATTTAATTACTTCTAAAGGATCTATGAACGCCAGTGATATTATAAATTTCCTTATACTTATGCTAATGAATAATGAGAGTCAGGTTATTTTCTGATGTATGTGAGTGAATCAAATGTTTTTTTTCTGAAAAAACTAGACATGACAAGAGAAGAGGTCTGATTTTTAAGTTATACAGGGGGCTTTTCACTTAGTGATAAAGTGCAGTTGGATTTTTCTGAAGATCTTTATTTTCTTTATCTCTTTATTGTTTTAGCAGCCGTGTCCTTCTCCAATGTTGCTATGGAAAATTGTCACAAACTTGATATATAAGTGAATACACACAAGTAACATATGTACCACCTTGCAGTCTTGTGCATCATGAGTGCTGACCGGGTCTACAGAGGTAGCTGGCAGAACTGCACCCCATTAAGGAGAATCGAGAGCCGAAACGGCGTCTTCCGCTCCTCCTTGCCTGTTTCTCGGATCCTCCCTCTTCCAAGCTGGCAGTGGTGGGTCAGGTCCTTCTTTGACTGACATTTCCTCTTCCTGACTCTAATTTCATCTTGCATTTTAAAAGGCATCGGTAATTACATTTGACCTACTTGAATAATCCAGGCTAATCTCCCCTGCTAAGGTCAGTTCATTAGCAACGTTAATTACATCTATCACCTTCAGTGCTCCTCTTGCCACAGGATAGAGAGTATTCGTAGATTTTAAGGATTAGGACACATACAGCAGAGGGAGGGTATTACTTCACCTAACCAAGAGCATAAAATTAGAATCTGATAAAATGAAGTGAGCTTTAAATTCCAGGCTTGAATTATTGATGAAATGACATTAAAAAATTTCTTTCAGGAGGGCTGGCCAAACAGCTCAGTGGATTAAAGCACCTGCAAAGTGGAACAGGGGCCAGGGGTTTGGCCCCACCCCTGGGGCACACTGAGACAGCAATTCAGACTGTGCGTGGTGGTGTGCGCCTGCAATCCCAGCTCTTGGGAGGCTGTAAACAGGAGGATCACTATGAGTCCTATCTAGTAGGGAGATCCTGAACACCCTGTAGACCCTTCCCTAAAATTAAAAAAAAAAAATTCTTTCCAGTTACTCTGTGTAATACAAATTACGATCATGTATATCCATTGTTATTTTGTATGGAAAAAATTATATACAAAGTACTGATATAGGGTGGTGAGAAATTTAGCAGGACTGTTTAGGCTCTCAAAAATGCCACTGGAGGCTGGCTGAGAGGTTATTTAAGGGAAAACTACAGTGAATTCCACTTTCGAAGACGTCACAGATTCACCCGCTATTGAATGGATAGCTCACTGGAAGATGCCTACTTGTGTAGAAAGAAAGAAGAGGTAACAGAATAGTTCTCCATACAGTACAGACAGAATAGCTTTCGTTGTTCCTTACAACTCTAAAGTTCGTTATTCAGTTTTCCACTTCATCATAGACTGGTCTGAACTATTTCGTTTTCCACCTCTGGGATTTCCATGATTTGCCTTTCTCACTGATGTCCTGTATGGCACTGATTACAGAAAAGGATGTGAAAGCGGAACACAGTGATACACAGACGAAAGAACCAATGGAAATGTGTAATAGAGCAATGTGGAAATATACATTCGGCTCTTCCAGCGGCTGTAACAAAGTCTGTCGAGGGCACTGTCTGTGTTCACAGGTCTCTTGTGCGCACTGATTACAAAGATGAAACACCTGCTGCAATCTGGCTCTCCTTCTGGGAGGACTAATCCTGAAATGTCACTCACATTGGATTACAAAGCAGAGCAGATTAATAAAGCAGGATCCTGGGCATGGATGGGCGGCCTCCGCCCCTGCTTGTCTAGTGCTGGCAGTGATCCTGGGCTACCCTACCCAGCCACCACGGAGAGGGCAGCTCTGCTCCACCACACACTGCAGCCAAGGTATTTCTGTCTTGAAGTCAGACAACCAGAGTCTGAATCCTCTGAACAGTGAGTCACACTAAAGCCTTCCTCTGTTGCGCTGAGTGCTGGGCCTGGAATCTCGGCAGCAGAGCAGGAAGCTCATACATCCTCCTTAGGCTCTTAGAGGCCACTACACTCTAGTTTTTAACTCAAGCACCATACTTTGGATTCAGCTACTTGTCAGCCAAGTCACACCATTCCAGCTGAACGTTCACCGCAGAAAACTCTTTCCATAGCAATGAAACAGACTCAGAACTCCAGGCAGGTATTTACTCCTGCCTTTAACATCTGCACAATTCAGGCAGAAAAGGGCACAGTGCTGGAAAAATTGCCTGGGTTTTCTTTTCTTTTCTTTATTCTTTCATTTGCTTTATTTGCTTTGCTTTACTTTGACTTGCATCTTTCCTCTTTTCTTTCTCCTTCTGTTCTTCCTTCCTTCTTTGTTTCCTTCCCTTCTCTTTCTTTTATAAATAGCATAGGTTAATGTGCTTCCGCCATGTTAGCAAAGACTAACTGCATAAGGAAGGGGCCACTGCTGCCCGCCCAGCTGTGCACAGCTCAGGCCTCTACACGGGCAAATTCCTTCAAAAAATGTTCACTGTGCTTGCACTTAGGAAGCTACCTCTTCCAAACTATTTTTATTTACACCATAGCACAACACAACTTCACACATGCACAAACCAAATACACGCAAAAAAGTTAGAATATGACTCCTCCAAATACCTTCAAATGTTGAGGATGATCTGCACATAAAATGTCTTAGCCATAGATTGCAGAGGCCCATCACATGAGCATTTGAAAAATCATCAGAAAAAAACTGAATATGGGGGCCAGGGAGATGGCTCAGTAGAATAAGTGCTTCCCTGGCAAGTGCAAGGGCCTGAGTTCAATCCCTGGTTCCGCAAAAAAAAAAAAAAAAAAAAAAAAAAAAAGAATGTGCACTGAGGCCTGGCCCTCTCTCACACTGAGCTTCTGGCACTGTCACCATGGTCATGGCCACTGTCACAGAACTCATTGTTTAGAATAGCCAAACATGGACACAAAGTGGGCCTTTTATTTTTAAAAAAGATGTGTCTGCCTAATTGGGGTTTTTAGACATCAAAGCAAAATATGTATTAAATTACTCAAGATTTGAGAGTCATAAGGAAATATTTGTATGTTTATGAATTGGTGGGAATTATGCATTTCCGTTTAAATTTTTATATATAAAACTTTTGGGTTTCTCTTAGGACTTCTTAAGTGCTTCAACACGGAATGTAACCATTTCAGTCGGAAATGAAAATTAAGAAAAAGATATAGGTGAGGATTTCTTTCCTAAAACATAATAATATATATTTATACAATATCCACATGCAATGAAATCAGGTTTAAGTATTTGCACATCTTGTTATGTTAAATATCCCCTACAGGTAAATGAGACAGAGGATTTATTTGGTTATTAAAAATAATAACAAGAAGTTAATGACCAAAAAGAGACACAAGAATGAAAGTGAAGAAAACGCTGGGAAGAGAAGAAATGTACGAATGCCATTCCTGACAACATAGACCATACGCTTCAGTGCGGGGGCGGGCCCCACAGAGCCCACAGGGTCTTGCTCTGCTGGCACCTGTGCAGGCGCATGCCGACCGTCAGTGCCCCATCAGCTCCTTTCACCCTAGGCTCTTACTCTTTAAACATTCCCAGTGTAGTGTCAAGATCACTAACAGTAAATCAATGATGCTTTCTGGAAATTCAGATTATATTAGTCCAGAATGATTTTGCATAAATGTATTCAGTATTTACATTAAATACTTTTATTTAAAGAAAACATATTTTAAAAGTTTATGGGGCTGAGGCGATAGCTCAGTGGTCTAAGGGCTTGCCTGGCAAGTGCCAAGACGTGGGTTCCACCCCTGGCACCACATGATGTTCTGGTCTGCAATTCCAGGTGCACCATGCTGGGCACCGAAATCGGGCATGGTGGTGCATGCCTGTAATTCCAGCACTGGGTACGCTGAGACATGAGGATCACTACGAGTCCATTAGTGAGATCCTGTACCAAATAAATTTCATTAAAAAGTTTAAAACAAAAAAGAAGTTTATGAATGAAAACAAACATGGGAAAGTATTTTTGAACTGATAAACTATATGGAAACTTTTAGGGCAAGATGATTTTCTTTTGATAAGTGTTCCAGGAAAGGTTTTGTTAAATATGCAGTAGCTCATTCTTGGAAGAATGCCACACAGATGATTCAAAGTTAAATATGAGAAGAATCTTGCAAAGAGGAGAAAGTCTGTAATCAAATGCTTCATGAATGAATACTTACATTGTGCTTTGTGAGGTTTGAAATATTAGTTGCTATTGCTTGTAGCCAGTCAAGAGCATCTTCCGTGGAGAGGCACTGGATGATCCCACTGCAGACCCCATCCACAGCAGTGACTTGAAAAGCGTTTTGCCTGCAGACACAGCAGAACAAATCAGATCAAAATGTCATGTCACATATTTGTTTGCAAATCAAAACAGGTATTACAAGGGTTGATATTTTGGACATTTCGGGCATTGCTAGTTCTGTGGATAGCCCACTACTATTATGGACTACTGGACTATATTGGATTATTTTGCTGAATTCACACACCTACAATATTTGAATGGCAATGGAATACTCATCTCTGACAAAACTCAACAGAAAGGGAGACATAAATGAAGGACCATTTTTTAGTGAAAAAAATATATATCTATATATACAAAATAGATAGCATAGATATGCAGCTACTTTCTTTTAGTTCAATGAGAAGAAAGATTTGTAATAATATTGTTTAGGTAAGATATCATATCTGAATCTTGTACTATGAATAACTACTACGAAGACAATAATATGCAATGTATTAATGATTGTAACTGTCCTACTAACCTGTTTTGAAACTGTCTTATTATTATTTCTTTCTCAATAAAATTAATTTTTAAAAATGTCATGTCACATATTTGTTTGCAAATCAAAACAGGTATTACAAGGGTTGATATTTTGGACATGTAAAGGGGATCCTGAGATCATTGTGGAGAGAAGAAGGGAAGGAAAAAAAAGTCAAAAGGATCAAGATATGATATGTATAGTACATGCAATAATTCTCTGTGATAAATGTACTTGTTGTACACCGTAGAGGTATCTAAACAGAAAAGGACAAAACAGAACTGTGTAAGTTGAAATTCTCTCCTTGCAAATAATTAATATCAAATTCAAATTTTATTATTTTCCTTTATCAATATTCAAATTTAAAGGAAATGTCAAAAATAATGTATATCATACTTTAAATTAAGAAGTGACATCCTTAGATTCCAACAAATAGGGCAAACTCTGAGATGTAAAACGTATAGGATGTAAATACAAGAGAATCTAAGAAATGTGGATGCATTCCTTTCCTAGCTTACCATGA